GTATATTTGTATACTTGTTTAAAAATGATATTGGTATTTTTATTTGATTTAAAATTAATTTTATATTAATTTTTGATGTCAAATAAAATACACTTTGAACATTTAAGTGGAGAAGAATTTCAAATATCCTTCTCATATCATCATTTCGGCCATAGTGATATAAAGGATCAAAAATCAATCTTTGACATAGTTTATTAATTTTTATCCTTTAGCTAAATGACAAAGTTTTATAAATCACTTTGTAATCTTTTGTTGATTACACGGCACATTGAATTTAATGTGGGAATGTGAAGATTATCATTTTAAAAGAGCATGCACTTGTGTATTTCGGTGATAATTTTTCTAGTGAGAGAAAATTTCTTTTATGTTCTATTAATATCATTTTGTGTATAGAAAATATCTATAATATTTTCTAAATATTATTAGAAATATTTTCTATAAAAAATATACAAGATTATTATTATCCCAATTTTAATCTTTATATTTTATACTACTATAATCTTTACTAGCATAAAGATTGTGGTAGACTCCGGCGTTGTTCGCGTGTCAAAGTTGGAGACCGGACGATTGAACGGTTACGTTTGCACTTTCAACGCTCTTCCTACGATTTTTAGTCCGAAAGGGGCTGTAGACCTGGACGGATTAGGGTGTTACAATTTGGTATCGGAGCAAATGGTTTTAAACCCGATCTTCGGATCAAAACTTGGATATAAAAAAAATATTTTACATATTATATATGTATTTTGGCCTTAAAAAATGATGTCAATCAAATCCACGACTCTCGCATCCCTCTACTCTAGAAAGGTAATAAAAAAATGAGAATTGAAATTGACTGTATCAAATTTTTTAGATGTCAACTGTTAATTCGGAAATGATATCAAGTGTTGATTCAAGTCGCACTTTCGTACTTGGTAAAAGACGAAAGAACAAACGAAATGTCTATGACTCGTTGATACGTTACCAACGTGCACATCGATTTGCAAGAATAATGAAACGAAGGATTTATCTGCGCCGGAAGGCTGCATGGAAACGAGATGTCCGAGAAGAGACGTTCAGCGTAGACTCTGCCAGTAGCGTATGTGGGTCGGGCAAGGAAGACCCGTCTGTAGATTCGTCATGATCCAACCAATCGAACGCAAACGCTTAGAAAATTATCTTATTTTTCGTTTCAAATCCATTGATTGTATCAACTATTGTAATCCTTTGCAATTCCTGTCTTAAACTCAACTACTAAATAAAAGAATCCTAATAAAGGAATTTCTGTTATTGTAGAATGAGTCAAGAATCTGCCCACGGACAAGGAAACAATAATGAACATGTCAGTGTTCATACGGAAGCATCTAGCTTTACCCCTCCCGTCCAAAATGAACCCGTCAATCAACAAAATGTTGGGAATAACCCGAACGCTGATGGTCAACCCGACCTTGCGATTCCCACATTCCTGGCAAATGTATTACAACAGATAGCCAACGCACCAATTTTTCAACCACATCCACCACCGCCACTGCGAGTGATAACCTACAAAACATTATGGGATAACGGTGCAGAATTATTCCTTGGGGATCGCATCGGTGAACCCCAAATTGCATGGGACTGGATTGAGCAGACTGCTCGAGTGTTGGAGGATCTTAACGTACCCATTGGCAACTATCCCCGACTGGCGTCTCAGCTGCTTCGCAAGGAAGCCTACGAGTGGTGGAAGAGGACCGATGAGAGTGCGGGAACCCCTAAGCCATGGACATGGGCACATTTCGAATGGGCATTCAAACAAGAATATATTCCAAAACGTTTTAGCGAAGAAAGACGTAAGGAATTTGTCGAATTGCAACAGGGAGACATGACACTCCCTGAGTATCGTCAGAATTTTACCAGTCTTGCTAAGTTTGCACCAACCTTGGTAAGTACCCCAACCGATCGCATCGAGGAGTTCAGGAAGAAACTTCGACCTGACCTTAGGTCGCGTGTGTCCGTCCTAACCACCGTGGATTTCGCGGAGGCCTACGATCTCATAGCCAGGGCAGACAGCGACTTGAGTGCTTGCATTGAGTATCTGAAGACAAATAATGTCAGTTCAAGCACTCACCGTCCCATCAGCTCTGTCTCAAAAGGAAAAAGGCCCTTCCAGGAATCTAGCAATTCACACATCTCAAAGAAGGGGAAATCGGTGAAGACGCACTCAGTGGCGTCGGAGAACAAATCAAGAGGGTGGAAACACCCCTTGTGCGATACATGTGGGAGACATCATCCAGGCGAGTGTTGGCTTGCCCAAGGATTATGTCTAGGTTGTGGCCAACCTGGACATTTTCAAAGGGATTGCCCCACTAATCCTGGCAAACCATTTCCGACAGCCCCAGTTGTGAGCCAATCAGCATCAGCACGACCTGTGCCAAGTCAACGATCAACGGCGAGATCTAATCCGGCCAAGAACCAGAGTCAGCAACAGGGACGAGCTCTTGCTCGTACTTATGCAATGAAGGCACGAGTTGAGGAAAACCCTGACGTCATTCAGGGTATGTTTTCCTTATTTGATTCTGTCATGCATGTGTTGATAGACCCTGGATCAACGTTATCTTATATCTGCGTGCCTATGCCTGACAAAGCTGACGTAATGAAAGAAAACTTAGAACAACCTATACTAGTGTCTAACCCATTAGGGCATAGTATGAGGTTACTTCACGTATATCAAGATTGTCCATTGGTTGTCGAAGGAAAAGAATTCCTTGCCAATCTTGTTGAATTACCGTACAAGGAATTCGATATCATCCTTAGAATGGATTGGCTCACCGAGCACCAAGCAGTTATTGATTGCCGACGACGAATGATTCAACTGAAAACTAAAGAGGGAAATTCTATTGAGGTGAAAGAAAAGTTAACTCCTAAACCGACTGAGTTCATCTCGTACATACACGCGAGACGTCTCATTCGAAAGAAATGTGAGGCTTATCTATGTAATGTACGTGACACACGAAAGGAAACTTCTGAATTAAAGGACATATCGACAGTATGTAATTTTCCTGAAGAACTTCCTGGTATACCATCTTCCAGAGAAGTAGAAATTTCCATCGATCTTGTTCTTGGAACAGGACCGATAGCTGCAACTCCCTATCGCATGGCTCCTGCTGAAATGAAAGAGTTGAAGGCTCAACTACAAGAACTACTCGATAAAGGATTCATACGTCCGAGTGTTTCCCCTTGGGGAGCACCCGTCCTGTTTGTCAAAAAGAAAGACGGCTCGATGAGACTCTGCATCGATTACCGTCAATTGAACAAAGTCACAATCAAAAATCGATATCCTTTACCACGTATCGATGACTTATTTGATCAGCTTAGAGGATCCACTGTATTCTCTAAGATTGACTTACGGTCAGGATACCATCAAATCCTTGTAAAGAAAGAGGACATCCCAAAGACTGCGTTCCGTACTCGTTATGGTCATTATGAGTTTACGGTAATGCCCTTTGGTTTGACCAATGCTCCAGCAGTATTCATGGATCTCATGAATAGTGTATTCCGACCTTATCTTGATCAATTTGTGGTTGTATTCATCGATGATATTCTTGTCTATTCGAAGAATCGAGAAGACCATGCGAAACATTTGAAGATAGTACTCAGCATACTACGAGAACATAAACTATATGCCAAACTGTCAAAGTGTGAATTTTGGCTTAATGAAGTTACGTTTTTGGGACATGTGATTTCTCAAGAAGGTGTTAAGGTAGACCCCAGTAAAATATCTGCCATCACCGAGTGGAAGGTTCCAAGGAATGTTCGTGAAGTGAGAAGCTTTCTTGGATTAGCTGGATACTATCGACGATTCGTTGAAGGCTTTTCCTCGATCGCAACTCCACTTAACAAACTTCTGAGAAAA